GCACTCCTTTACATCTCTGAATACTGACTTTGAAGCCAAAATGTGAATCGTGCCAGGTTCACAGGAGTTGTAGCCATGGTAGGGAAGAACGAGAACGATGAGAATTACCTTGAAAATGTTAGCGAGGTAAGATTTGCAGTTCTTGCGGCGCTAAGAGTCGACATGGTACTGATAACGAGTGTTCGAACATCGAGAGACGTGAGCTGCGCATTCTGACCTTGATCCGAACATTACCAGATACCCTTATTGTCCCCTGAAGTAGATAGAATATGGCTTTGGGTATACCCATATACCCCATATTCTGTCTACTTAAGGGTAGTATAGCCCAAAACCCTAGCTCACACCGCCAAACTCTTAACCCAAACACCACACCAAAATCTAACTCCCAAACACTTAACCCAAAAAGCAAACATGTGTTTATGTGGTTTCACCGCCCAAAAAAAAGCATCGCTGACATGTTTTGGCTACACCTCATTCTCCCTGCAATGTCCACGGTAGCTTCTGCAAAGGTTTGCGTAGCCCTGTATTGAGCGGGGTTGAGGGCTTCGGGCGTAGGATATGGAGGAATGGAATGATCATGAGGGTGTGAGGCATCTCCTGGAGAGGGGGAAGCTTATCAAATCTATCCGTAAATGTATGAAGGAGATGCGGGAGAGGGAGATCAACAACGGAAGATTCGCCATGTTTGCTGCTATTGGTATCATTGTTGCAGAGCTCTACACTGGCAAGGATGCCATCGAGCAGTTTGGTCTTTAAGCAGCGATGACATCATCGTTGCCCTATCGATTTAGATACGGTCAAAGTTTTCGGCAGCCAGCCACCTTTTCCTCCGGTGTGCCTCCGGCTTATGCCATTATGCCATGAACTGCCACAAGGGCATCAAACACATCCGGACAGCTAGCGCATGTCGCAAAAAAGCGTCACAAAACTGTTCGTTTGGAGACTTGGAGAACTGAGATGCTTGGTCCCTTGGGAAGAAGCTGTTGCTACTACTACCACGGTCATCATATGTGGACTGCCTTGTTCCCCAAACCCTATGCCCGGGTACAAAACGGTCAAAATCCAAAACCGTTTGGGCAACCTTCTTCATCCGGCGCCAGGGCACGACGGATCGGCGAAAGCTGAGGCTACCGGAGGATGGCGCGCCCCAGCCTTCTTCGAGGTTTCCAACATTCAGGCTACAAAGGGTTTGAGGTTTAGGATTCAGGGTTTTAGGGCTTAGGTTGAGGTTTCGGTTTAGGGTGAGGGTTTGGGTCTACAAAGCTTCTGTTTTGGAGGTTTACGGCAGGGGTTGTTCCTGAAACAAGGTTACCCTTCCGATGCTGGCTATAGATGCAGGGGGCACTAACCTGCAACCCGAACAAGGGGCGCATGTACCGCCCCTTTGCAAGGGGGGCTTTCTCGAGTTTTCTGCTGTTCTGGGGGGAGTCTAGCGTGGAAACACAGCCAGCTGACGTTCAAATCCCTGGCAACCCCCGTGCTCTGCTTTCTGAAGCCGACATTCGCACTACTTTTTAACCCGGAGCATGCCCTAATTGTTTTGTCTGTTCCTGCATGTGCCTTGGGTGACCAGTCGCCGCGATAGGTCACCGACAAACCCAGGCCTTATTCTAGCTGAGCAGGCATGTGCATATCGGGGATTCCCAAAATTACGGGTACCTTTCTGGGGGTCCCCATAATAAGGATTATAGTATTTTAGGGTCTATATTGAGGTCCCCCTCTTTTGGGAAATTACCATATCCCGATCAAATGAGCACGCTTCTCCGCGGAGCGATTCCCATGGTCACCCAAGACCTTTTGTAACTTTGCATGATTTGTCTAGGCGGCTAAAACCGTAAACCCTGAGCCCCAGACCCTAAACAGCGGCCACGCGCTCAGGTTGCATGTCTTCTTGGCGGCGACAGTTGATGCGCAGAGGTGGCACAACGTAGGAACCCGAATGATTATCACCACAAGTCTTGTATATCGCTTGGTGGAATGGTAGTATAACCCCGAAGCCTTGTCCTGATCTTGTAGAACACTATATTCTGTACCCGCATGAGGGCTGCAACAAAATTTAGACCTCGACGACTGAGGGTTTCTTTGAGGCGTTGAGCGAAGCACATTAGTCGGATCTCTGCAAACATCCCTACAGGGCAGCTTCTCTTCAGAGGCTTACATTGCGCCCATTGTGTTGCTTAGACCCTAGACCCCGTCACAGGACGCATAAAAGTTGAGGGTCTCTTTGGCTAAGGTTCCTTTTGGATTCTACCTTGAAAGCTTGCTTGCGCAACCACTCAGACATGCCTGAACCTTGCGGGCCGTTGCCAAAGGCAAGGCTCAAGGCGATGTGAGCTACAATCTAAACTCCTTGAATGGGCTTATAGGGGATTCTCTAGGGGAGTACTATAGGGTCAGGGGGATACTAGGAGTTTAGACTATAGCTCATGTGTCTCCATGCAGCCTTGGTGATGCCTGAGAGTTGCTCGCCAATCACTCACCTGCCCTGCCATGCTGATCTGTTAGGATGTTTAGGGGCCGCATGAACAAGGGCTTACTGGTTGTCATCAGGCTAAGGGAAAATACTCCCTATCTATTTTTCATGGGGAATAGGGGAAAGTATCTTTTGGAGATTATACTAGGGCCATTTTCCCATATTCCCTACGAACAACCAGGAAGACAAGTTAAACCTGAGGGCAACACGAAGCGAAAGATGCAGGAAAAGCCTGCAAACATCTTTTCGTAGGCTGTTAATGCAAAAAGTGTTCATGTCCACAAACGGGGGTCCTGTTCTGCATGCCCGACATGCCAGAAGCCTCTCCGCAGAATACCGAGCCCCGACTGGGGAAGCTCCGTCAGTGCTGGCGTTGCAGAGGGATTTTCTGGACTTTGCTTTGCTCATTTTTCAGCTTATTATGATTTGGGTGGTTGTCAAAATTGTGGTCCCTTTTTGGGTACCCGAAATATTTGGTGCCGTATTATAATAGCGATCCAAGAAGGGATTATAATTTTCACAACCACCCATTTGTTGACTGAAATGAAGATGAACATGGCTAGCCGTGCAGGGCATCTATACATTTCAAGCGTTTGGAGCTTCTCAAATCCACCACAGAAGAAAAACCTCGACTATGGACTCACATAATTCCCCGATTAAGCTCATGCATTCCTAGGCGCCCCAAGGGTGCCCAATTTCGAGAAACCTCGATTGCCAGATCATGCAGCCACCTTACGGAGAAGATTCACGAGAACACAGCATTGATGCTAGCAAGGTGAGGAAGGAGACGCGAAAAGTAATGCTACAATCCCTGGGAGTCCGTCCCTGCAGACCCCAAAGGCAAAAGATCTCATGCCGATCTGAGCTAAAGTCTGAACTCCTTAGAGGGGGGTTACATAGGAGGTTATATAGGGGAGCAGTATAGGGATGTTAAGGGGGATGCTAGGAGTTTAGACAAAGGCTCATCTAATGCTGGGAATTCGTTTTTGCTCTGGCATTGGTCCTTGCTCTTGGTTCATAGTAGTGGCAGATGATGTTAAACGGCAAGACCAATTCCCATAATCACACGGAAACTAGAGCATGTACACACATACTGGTATTAGTGCTTCGCATTTCAGGAAATCCCACCCACTGGCCCTGTACCTGGAAGGTCCATGGGTTGTGACAAGTAGGATTATCATACGATAAAGCAGCAAAACATATACCCATGGACCCGTGGAGCTGCAAGTAACCCTAAACCTAAACGTTGTCTAGAGCTTTACAGCCCAACAAGCCCGATGCCGCAATGGCAGCTCCTGCCGCACCAAATCTGGAGCAGGCTAACGGGGCATGATTCATCCCAACATGGGGGTTTGTTAGGGACCCTAGCAGCATATACTTCAAGGAGGGTGTACGGGTGTCCATCCTTGGGTTTTTGGGGGAGGGTAGGCGGGTTGGGTTTAAGGATTAGACAGCGTTATTCTGTGAAACTCGAGCTCCATAGGGTCTAGGGGGTTGTAACCCTTACATTTTTCTTGCAATGCGTATCTCGTGGGCCTCTAAAGCTGTTAGCGTTCGTGATTTTGAGCTTGGCAATTTGTGGTACCCCAGACCCCAAACCCTAAACCCTGGTGGTAGCAACACTGTGAAGTTGGGCCGGGGATGTCTGCCTACAGACAAGTTGACGAATATTCAGACCCCTGGCCACCCGTCTGGGTGTCTTGCTCTCCCACAAGCCAAGACATAGTCCCAGAAGGGCCTATACCCTAAGATCTAGACTAAACCCTGAAGCCGAAACCGCCTCTGAAGACCGTTTGGACTTCAGCTGCATCTTTCCGGGTGCGTTCCGTCTTTTGAGAGTAGTGTGGAATCTTCTCTGGGATTTTTTCAACTTGTTTATAGAAGGCCTTGTGGATGGATGAAATCCTGAACCGCTTAGGATCCCGAACGCTTCATGAGTTCTTCGGTGTGAGCTATATGGTAGCTTCTTTAAAAAGGGAGACCCAATATAGACCCCCAAATACTAGAATCCTTCCCATAGGGATCCCCAGAAGGTACCCCTCATTTTTGGCAAGCCCTAAGGCCTAAACCCTAACCCCCATGCTCACCTTTAGAACCTATATATATATATATACACACACCCTTCAAAGGTACCTCTGTTTTTGGGAAACCTCCAGAAAAAGGGGTGTAGGAGTTGGTTGCTTCCATCCACAATGCTCAGGCAATCGCTGCATATCCCTGGGGTCTATGGGGGTTTCCCAAAATTGGGGGTACATTTAAAGGGGAATTATGGGATTATGATATAGGTTTAGGGTTTAGGGGTTTTGGGATTTAGGGTTTAGGGGCTTCCCAGAGTTTGGGTACCTTTTTGGGGCTCCCCATGACAATCCACCCTTTCTCTTCTGGACGTGTGTCAGCCACCTATCTTCAGACATGTCATTTTACTTGTCAACATGTATGCCTTTTCGTATTATGCTCCACCCATGAGCACAGCAAATTCTAAAACGGATTCTGTTATCGATGGCCAGGCGATCTAGACACGCACATTTTCTTTTGAAGTTTGTTGGGCTTTTTGGAATATCACGGCGTTTCTTGAGGTTCATAGTTTGCATTTCTGGATTTTTCGGTGTTCCGTACAGCAAGTTCTCCCACCTTCCCACATCTCATGATCCACCACAAAAGGTGGATTATGGGGCAGGTGGGGGCGGGTTGAGCAAACATATGCGCTATAGTCTAAGTTCCTTAAACAGGATTATATAGGGCAGTATATAGGGGACTACCAAAGGGCTTATTAGGGGTAGGAGTTTAGACTATAGCTCATATGCAGAGGTGAGATTCTGATATTGGGGTTTCGAGGGTGTTAAATTCGTGGGGAAGGGACTGGCTGCTTCTCTAAGGGAACGCTGTGGGAATTGCCAGCGGTGGAGCATGTTGCGAAAGCGATGGGGGGTTTCCCAAAATTAGGGGTGCGTGCCAGTTTGGGGGTCCCTATAATAAGGACTATAGTATGTTGGGGTCTACATTGGGGTCCCCTAATTTTGGGAAACTAACTTGTCTTTCCAAGGGTTGAAACTCTGAGATACTTTCAATTTGTTCTTGGAAATGGTAAACTTTCTTTTCTAAGCTGTTGGCGTTAATTATGCTCAGTGTTGTTGAGGCGCAACTTGTAGGTTGGTTCTCTTGGTTTTGCTCATTGGACCTCAGTACCTTGGGCTGCTCTTGTAATAACCAGTAATAAGTATAGTGGTCATAGTAGTATTAGTAGAAATAATTGTAATAGTAATAATAGTAGTAATAGTAGTACTATTTGTAATACTGGTAATGGTAGTAATAGTAAGAATAGTAATAGTAATAATAGAATACCTCGTTTAGGTAGATCCCTACGGAATGTCTGATGTGAGCTCGCTTGCTTCAGGAGCTCGCAACGTTTCGACGACAGGTGTTTACCCACTATGCCTCAGTTGAGGCCAGCCATACCCTGCTTGAAGGGTTCATGTGAGCTAGAGTCTAAACTCCTCAAAGGGGTTTAGGGTCCAAACTCCTTAAAGGGGGGCTATATAGGGGATTGTATAGGGGAGCATTGTAGGGGTTATGAAGGGGGATGCTAGGAGTTTGGACAACGGCTCATGTGTTGTCATAAGTCCTAGGCTAAGTGCCCCAATTAACTAGCGTTGTAACTGAAGCCCTCCCAACTGACCACCACGCATGAGCTTCCAAGTAGAGAGATTGTGTTCTACGTGCCATGGATGTCCATGTCCGATTCAGATTAGTCGGCTGGATTCCGAGCCTCGATTGGTTCGCAGTTGTGTCTTTAGCATAGGCCCCTAAAGCATGATCCAGGAAGCAGAAATCCTGCTTGAAGGCCCTGCCACAAAAGGATCTTGTGCAGCTCGAAAACGAGGATTTTCAACCCTGTTGAGGCTGCGTTCGCTGCCCACACGCCAGCGGATACTGCAGTCCTTGTTGAGCTTACAGAAGTAGAGCTCCTTGGCATGCGAAGGCTGCATTCCTAGTGTTGTTCTTGGGGGTGAGTGAACGAAAAAAACACAACAAGTTCTACAGGGTTTCTGCTTCGGATCTAGTTATCAAATTTTTGGGTGCCCTCAGTGTTCCTACAGGACTAACATTGGCATTTTGACCCCCAGAACTGGTGAAACAGCTTCTTGTTGCCAGGCCATGTTGTTAGTGTGGTTGCCATTGAGCTCTCCTCTCTGGATGTACGTAAATCCGGTTCACTTTGGGCTGAGGAACGCGAAAAACGTCCGATGCCGATATGCCTTCTTGGTATGTGGCGTTCCGACTAGTGGCTCATCATGTAGGCCACAACATTGAAATTCGTCAGCTTGGAGATTACGATTATAATCGGCGGCGCAACCACCACCAGCATTGTCATCATCATCATCATCATCATCATCACATTGACAACCATGATCACGATGATGACGATGACGATGATGCTGCTGCTGCTGCTGATGATGATGATGATGATGACGATGTTGGTAATCATCATCACCATCGTCGCCATCAACGCGGTGCCAGCCTGTCCTGTTATTATCTTGCTCATGTAGCACACTGTTTGCCGTGGGTCCGACCTCTGCACTCAACAGACAAACAAGCAACAATTGCAGCGAACCCGGTTGTTTGGATGGTGGTTGGATCCACTAATAAGAACTCCTGAAGCTATCAGGGAGACTTCAGCGTCAAGGTTTGAAGTTCAAGGTTCACTAGGGTTGAGGCTTTCAGCCGCAAGCCATCTTGTTTCATGGAAGTTTGTTTCATGTAGCGGTATTCCCAATGATTTTCTACGTTGAAGCCAGCACCACAGCATGAAACGTGCCAGTCAACCCTATGAATGTGGGCCCATGCAATTGTTTGGCCACATGAAAAGAGCGTTGCAGAAGGCGTTGATATTCAGGACATTTGGCTAAGGCTCGAGTTCCAGAGCTGAAGCCTTGAGCTGGCACTTCTTGTTGTGAGCCTAATGGATCTAGTTTTGATTGGGGCTTGCTGCTCCCAATACGTAACCCTGAGCCATGCAAAGGATCGGCATGCAGCAGTGGCCCCGCACCTGTTGTTGGCTGAGGTTTCGTGATTGGCATGCTACGCTCATTCACTTTGATCGGCGCCCTGGCAGAATTGTAAAAAAACTGATGTGGGAGAGGTACTGCCGCAAGACTAGTCAGTTCAGGGTTGCGGCAGTCTCATTTTGTGTTCACCTGGGACCTGCAACGCCTTCTTCCAGATTTTGAACCCTGAAACCCGACATGTAAGCATTCAGGCTCATCTGATATCTGAGCTTCTGCTCTTCGAAGACCCCAGCCCGAAGGCCCAAACCATAAGCCGTAAGCATGTAGTATATACCCTCCAAAATCCTTCATCCCGGAACTAGCAACCTAAAAGGCGCCTGGGCAGCCCAGGAAGGTAGCACATGCGATCTCCTCAGGGTCTGTGTGGCCTGTCATTGGTTCCACAGAGGAGGAGGAAGACAGGGTTTGGGAGAGGTTCCGGGCTTCAGAGCAGAAGTCCCCTTGCCCTGACATTTGAACCCTCCCGCCCTAAAGTGGCCGTCCCTCAATGAGAGACCTCACGTATGAGGCAACATTTCCATTCAAGATTGGGAGTGGGGTTTTTGAAATTAGAAGGAGTGTTTTGTCGATATATGTCATACTTGTTGTTGTACTTGTTGTGCTTGCAGTAGCAGCAGAAGAGGAAGTACAAGTAGCGTAGCAGAGTAAAGAAGCACTTACGCTGCTCAGGCATTTGGGGGCTTCGGGCTTCGGGAAGCTTACGCTTGGAAGAGGTTGTTCTTACACTTCGTTATCTTGCTTATACCTGTCCATGTCAGGTTTGGACCCCAACTTGAAGTTCCATGGAAAATAGATAATATGCGAAGAGGGGATAACGTGTGAGGTAACTGTAAGCCAGGCCATAGACCTGGTTTGCATATCCTTTACATGAAGCCCACAGACCTCCAAGCACAGCACTCTTGGACCCATAGCACGGCGGTATAACAGCAATGGCTAAGCCCCCAGCCCTGAATTTGCCGCGTAGCCGTACAGTAGGGAACGCGTGGCAAGCCTAAAAGGCCTTTAACCCTCAACCTAGACCCAAAACCCCAATTATTGAATACAACCCCAATATAACCCCAATATACTATAGTAGTTTCCATTTTCTTTTCCATTATCCCCATATAACCCCTATATAACCCCAATATATCAACGCCTCAAAGCCGAACCGGTCCTTGAGAACTCCTCGCCAGACCCTGAAGCCATCTGTGCCCGAAGGACGCAGATCCCCTTGCGACAATACTGGCAAAAGCCGCGCCTGGCCAAACCACATCAGGGGGTCTCTGTCAATTGCGGGTCCTTTTTTTGGTGTACATAAGGGGGCCCCCCATTTGGTAGTTTCCCAAAATACAGGGACTTCAATACAGATCCCAAAATGCTGCAATGATTATTATAGGGACTCCCAAAAAAGTACACCTAATTTTGGGAAATCCCCATATATGGAAACTACCACGCAGGCGTCAGGGAGTTCTCAAAAGGCGATACAATGGGTTATATATGGATTATAGGGCATATATTGGGGTTATATTGGGATAATGAAAATAAATTGGAAACTACTATAATGGCTTAGAATGGGTTATATATGCACCCTGCTGTGAGCAGTATGGTTGCCAAGAGACTCCCCACAAGTGGACACACATTTTGTGTTTCCGTAACTTGGCATGGTGCCACTATATTGCCGGTTTTTCAACCATATAGCAAACATCGGCGACAGCTGGTGTGGTGCTAGGCTCCATTTCGATTAGTTTTTGTGCCCGACTTTCTGACAGCATAGTCATAAGATACGATCATCCTCGATGAGTTCTTTGACTTACTTGTTCTTAGTAGGGAATAAGGGAATATACCCCCTATATCATACTTATATCGTGTATTTTCAAATTCCCTACGAACCATTTACAGCCAGAAGAGTCCCTTGGCATAGACCGGCCTGAACCATGCGACTGCACCCTGAATCGCAAGTCCTACTGGAGGACGTAGTCCTAGACCCAAAGCCCTAAACCCATGCCTGTCACCCCTGCAAGCCATATGGTAACCCCAGTTATTCGCATTACTCACCTACTTACTAAGTCCCCTTGACTCTCCAAGAAATACACCAAACCCAAAACTTCGAGCCTTGAGTCGGAGATTCCAAATACAAGTTTTGCAAACTTAGCCTTACAGAATCCTGCCTAGCGAGCCCCAGAATCCGGTTGTGTCCTCTTCAAATCTCTGTATATCTCAGGGGCCCTTTAGGGCACCTTGTTTTCAGAAACTTCCAGATTGGGCTCTCCAGATTCAAGAAGAAATGGCTAGGTCTTGGACTTATCCGGTTTAGGTTTCCGACATTCCCCAATAGTTCTTATGAAAGTCTTCTTCTTGCACACACATTCCTAGACCCGAAGCCCTGAACCCTGTAGCTTAATGCCCCAAACCCTTAGCCCTTCCTATGAACCTCCCAGGACTTTCAAGCGAGTACCCAGCGCCTTTTCGCTAGTGGGGCCCCCAGATTACACGGAGCGGCTGCAAAGGTTTCGGAGGGCCTCTAAATGGTTTCTACAAGGATATCTACGGGGATACAGGTGTTGAGGGCTTCGCAAAACTAAGGATCAATGCCTGGTGGCTCTTCGCAATGTTGTTTTTCCGGGTCTACTTGCTCAAGCTCTGGTCGGCTTTGTCAATACCCGGTTGAAAACCTCATAGCCATCTTGAAAGAGTTCTTTTGGCCCCGCAAAAAGAGGAATCCTGTTGGAAGGACCTTGGCCAGAGAAAAATGGTTCTGTTCACTGAGTCTCCACTTTCTGCAAACTTTGCTAGATCAGTGGGCGAAGTCATTGGCGGCAGAGGGTGGAACCAGTTGTTGCTGTTCAAGGTAGGGGGAGCTGAGAAGGTTGTTTTGACGGGAGCCGGACGTACATGATTCAGGGTAAAAAGCATCGGAACACAGACAGGCACTCGAGGGTACATGCCAAACTTAGGGCATACTACGAACCTACGCATTACATCCTACGTACACTCCTGAACCCGAAGTCATGCACCTGAGCCCTAAGTCATAAACCGCAAACTCTGAATCCTGGAATCCTGGCAGGAGTGTGCAGTTGCAGCCGGAGAACTTTCTGAACAGTTGGTGGACTGCATGTTTTGTTCGGACCAGCTGCCCGAAATCATCTTCAGGCCACTTGCGCAGAAGCCTAGACTTGCCTATCCCTTGAAGCCTATTCCTTCAAGCTTCACCAAATCTGAAGCCCTAAGCGGTTGGTCTAAACCTTTCAAGGTCTGGCAACAAAGGCAGCCACCACACTGTCTGCAGCAGGGATTCGGCAGGCGTTTGCCGAGGCGCCGCTGAGACTGATGTGAAGTTTCAGGGTTGAAGATTTTTGGCTCGGGATTTTCTTGGTACATAGTATGAGGCCTGCGGTATGTTGGGGCATCTAAGCTTCAAAAGCTTTCGAGATCTAAGTTTATGCGGAAGGGCTTCCTACTACAATGCTTGCTGAGGGCATATTCGAGTTTTTTCTTTCTAGGGAAGCCATCTTTTATGCATCCTGCCTTATCCATTCTCAACCTCCAAGCCCTAAACGCCATACCCCAAGCGCAAAACCGAAACTTGACCGTGGCCCAGAAACCCTAAACCTGATCGGAAGGTGGCTCCGTCGATCTCCTTTTCCACGATCCGGCGGCGCATCCTGTCCTTGCGACGAATTAATATTTCGGAGGCTGGAAATGGGGGTTTCCCCAAATTAGGGGTACCATTTTGGGGATCCCCATAATAAGGACTATAGTAACTATAGTATTTTGGGTCTATATCGGGGTCCCCTTGTTTTGGGAAACTACCAGATTTCGGAGGCTGGACATCTACTTAAACAGTGGGCACAGGATCGAGTACGGAGGATTTCCCGTAGTCATGTTGATGAGATCTGGATGTTTGTGTTCCGGGTCTATTATGTGATCAATACGGTGAAAGCCCTTTCATTGGGACACTGGACTCTTCAACAGCAGACTGGCAGACAGTAGAGATCTTGAACATCACGAAATTGTCAACTTTCTCATATAGTCACAAGACTTCCCTGAGAGAGATCCCTGCAAACTTCACGCAGTCTCCGTAGATTCGAAAGATCCTGGAGGGTGGTTTTCTGTTAGAGAAGCTCCCAAACGCCTTCTGCCCCCTGACTCTTCCGCCGGCGGAAGCCAAGGCTTGGGCACATCTCACTCAGCGGCCTCATGAGTGATGTCAAGAGGCGCTTGGCTGGAGAATTCGGGTTTGCTTACTGATGTGAATAGCAGGGGCAGCGGCAAGAATACTAAGGAACCTTTACCGTGGTATTCATGTGAGTTGTAAGCAGAGTAGCAACGGTATGCAGGAGTTTTAGCAATGATTGTTTCAAAGATGCTACGATCATTGGCAAGAATGCGATAAATACACAGAAACACACTAAACGTGTGTGTGTGTGTGCAACTTTGGTCATGGATGGCCGTCATGATTCATCTTGAGGCTCCAACTTCCCGAGATCAAAAGAGAGGTATGCAAGCCAACCGCTGCCTGGCTCCTTCCTACCGGAAGCAGAAGTATGGAACCAGAAGTCATCACCACCACTGACAGCGGCGGCAGCCGCAGCACCACCACCACCGCCGCCATTACCATAGCCACCGCTATACCCCCACTGCCGCCGCTGGAATCGCTGCCCCCACCGACGCTACCGCCATCACCACGTCCACCACCTCCACCACGTCCAACTCGTCCGCCACCGCCATCGCCACCGCCACCGTTCCGATTTCCACTGTGCAGGTCGCCGCCCACGGAAGATGCCGAGGAGGCCGAGATGGCCACCGGAGCTGCTGGTCGCACCCAGGTGCCTCAGACGGCAGTCTCCCAAAAAAGGGTTTGCAGTTTGGGACTCAGGGATAGCGTGTAAGCATTTTCTGAGATCTAGAGTAAGGGTTTAGGGTCTAGGGACAACACTTTGGGAGTTAGGAACCCAGGGGATATGTGTGGGTGTATATATATATAATAAGATGGGTTAAAGGGGAGGTATGGGGCTAAGCGTTCCATGGAGTTCATTTTGCAGAATCGGGATCCATGGGGATCACATTGAAAGCATAGGATCTAGGTAAAGTGCAGGAGGGCATCAAGTAGGGGCTTCAATGACGCATGATGAGAAGAATCCGAAGGTGTTGCTTTCATGTGCAACATGTGCCGGATTAGATAGGGTTGGGCGGGGATTGCAGAACATGTGTTGCATTCTTCGGGACATGGTGGCAAGACTACTGCATGAGTATGTGGGATGAATCAAGTGCGCTGGGGTAGGTTAGAATTTTTAATTCTGTATTACCCTTGATTGCTGTATAATCCTTATGAAGCCACAAAGATTCAAGGTTTATAGGGACCCCCCGAACCTACCCTAGTATCTTGACGGTATCTTATCGTGACTACTCCAAAGGAGAGGCGGCCTCAGTCCTTTTTTCTCAGCTAAACTAGGAAGAGCGCACCCTGAATAGTTCTTCAGTGCCGGTTGCAAGGCCCCCAGAGCCTATGATGGCTGACGAAAACTAGGTGGTTGGGGGATGCATGACTGTGGGAGGTCGAGAAGATCTCTGAGTTCCTGGAATTGCGAAAGGCTCAGGTGGGCCTCTGTGTTGCATGTCAAGATGCGCAGTCTTAAGCTCAGTTTTGGATCGTGTTTCTTGAGGCAAGGGCTTGCCAAGGGACCCCAAAGTTTCATTCCAGGAACAACCCTAAACCCTAAAACTTTTTCCCAGTTGTCTGCAGCTTGACTAGTGGGGTCTGTCAAGGCGACTTGCCTTGACCTCTTCCTGTGGATTTGGCTATGTCAGTAGGTTCAGTGATGCTAGACTGTTGACAAGTCACACGACTGGTTAGGGGCGGTCCCTTCTTACTTTGGGGCTCTGCAACAGCTTTGAAAGGAATTCTGGCGTGAACCACAGCTTGGAAACCTCTCAGATCTAGAGACCGGAAACGCGGCTGCAAATTTCAGGCTCTGAGCCCTCTCTAGTCACTTTCCAGGACGCAAAACTTGACGTATTTCACTTGAAGCTGAAAAACCTCTGGCCAGGTCAATGAGTTTGTGGCAGCAGTCACAGTGGCTGAACAGGCAAGATCGGAGGATAGAGTTGTAAGTGTTGGGCCCAGGTGCGGGGTTGTAGTCAGATTCAAGAATCCTAGACCGAGCACTTCTACAAACGCAGCACTTTCCTGAAACCGGCCAGCGACAGTAGCAGTGTAGGGTGCAGCTGCATGTTTCAATGCTATAGATGATAAAATCTGATAAAAGGACACAGCTCATCATCATCATCATCATCATCATCAGCAGCAGCAGCAGCAGCAGCAACAGCAGACATACTGCATGCATTGTGCTTGTATGCCCCCAAGCACGTTGGAGCAGCATGCACCTGCCAAGGTCTTCACCAAACCTCAGTTCAATGTGCATCCTGCCCACATCATACGCAAAAGAAAGAGGCAAATAAAAGCGAAGTGAATGAGTGAGCCTCGGAAACTTCACTTCAGCCAGATTGACTTGAGGAGCTTCGTGTACTTGAAGCAAGGGCCATCCACGTTTTCCCATCTTTCTCGCCAGGCCTTTCCTTTGCTCATTCAGGGCGTAGACTTCTCCTCCGGCGTCAAAAAGTTGTCTCGCGCCATGGCACCTCGCGGCCTTGCCTTTGCACTGCCGGCTGCGGCTGGTCTCGTCGCTGCCTCAAGCTGAAAACACATGAGCAAATCTTGAAGTTACGGCTCCGGACGTCTTATCAGGCGGCCGCACCCCTCTTCGTGCCTGGGGCACCTGGCGCCCAGGCGCCCCGCGC